AGGCCTATCTGGGGCTCAGGAGTTGGGAGGCAGGACAAGGGGACCAGGTGACCACGTCCAAGCTGTCATCCTGCTTTACTCCACACTGTCTCCCTGCCAGCCCATCCCACGCCAGACTCCAAGTTGAGCCCTGAACAAACTGGGACGCACACGGTGCCCTCACGTAGGGGTGAACGGTGGTGGAGGTGTCCCCAGTAAGGGAAGGTCTCCCAGAGGAAGTGACATCTTGGCTGGCCTTGGACAAAGAAGGCAGTAAAGTGCGCTGCTCTGGGGAGCTGGGAAGGCAGCAGGTAGAAAGCTCCAGGCAGAAGGAACCACAGGGAGCAGGAGGGGACTGGGTGACTGGAGCAGGCCCTGAGGCCGTGGTGGAGCTTTTTTCTCCCTCCACCAGGAACTGGGCAGCCACTGCTTCCCTTCCCCCACCCCTGCCTGTAAGTGGAACAGTTATCAGATTGGAGGAGGCTGGGTACTGGGAGCCTGGCCAGCTCCCCACCACCTCTGTGGTTAATGTCTGTAATCACTGCAATCTCCTGATCCCCAATCCCTGGGCACTGTGTGGTGGCCAGATGGCTTAGGAGGAGTTCCCCACTCGAGGCTCCTTGGAGCTCTTCCCTTCAGTCCTCAAGGACCTCAGGGCTCCAAGAAGCACCCGGCCACACTTGGAGTGAGAGAGGCAAGGTTGTCTAGGGACCCCCACTGTAAATCACAGAGCCAGAACGAAGTTTGAGGTTAGACCCGCGGAACCTCCCACTCTATCTGGAAGCCTTAGGCTCCATCCCAGCAAGGGGCCATCCAGGCTCCCCTTGGATAGTTCCTGAAACGGGGAGCTCACCACCACAAAACTGAGGGCTGCAGCTGTGGCAGGTCATTAATTCTAAGAGCTGAGCTGTAAAAGCATTATACGGACTGGATCACATTGCAATCGTGGTCAACCCAAACCAGAAGACCCATTTTTCCCTCAGGGGTTAAACTAGGTCTATACTGCTCAGTGAGAAGGACTGGGACAAAGGGAAACCCCACAGGGTCCCGAATCAGAAATCCCATCCCCATGTTGACTGTAGAACTTACCAGTATCCTCTCCACCTCCCTGACCTCTGATTTCCTGTGCTGTAACTCAAATGCAGGTGGTCCAAGACCTCAGCTACTAGTCAGAAGTGGCTGCAGAGCCCTAAAATTGTGGCTAGTATAGCTGAGGAATTTAAATTCAAATTTTTAAAAGTTTTATTTAACATTTAACATCTGAGGAGTATAAAACATTTTTATATTGACACATTGAAACGGTAACATTTTGAATATACTGGGTAAGGGAATTATTAAAATTAATTTCACAAAACATAATTTTGCAAAGGCCCTATGTGTAATCTCCAGTACCACAAAAAATGAAAAAGAAAAAAAAAAGAAAAATGTAAATGACAGGTGTTGCTGGCATTTTGGTTCTATGGGGCAGAGCTGACTTAAAAGGTTAAGGACTGAATGTCGTAGATGTCCAGGTGTTGGAGGAACAGTAAACTCCAGGCAAATTACAGTATCTGTTGTTATGGGGCCGGAGGAGTTGGACCTATAGAGATGTACCACACTCTGAATTAACTTGAGTCCTTTATTATCATATCTGGTATTCCAGAGGGGCTCACGCCAGAAAAACTCTGGACAAAGGAAGGCAGTTTGAAGGTTCTTTTAAGGGCTTTTTTACTTGAAGAGGGCTCAGGGAGAGGTGGAGCACCGGGGAATTTTACAGGAGCAGAATTTTGCTAAGTAGTGGGGGTCAGGGGAAGTTGCACACAGTTTAATTAAAACAAAATATCACACAGGTGCAGAGATTTCTGTTTACAAGGTGGTAAAGATAACATAGTTGCAGGCTTGCACAGGTGCAGAGCATCCTGTTTACGAGGCAGTGAAGATAGCATAATTGCAAACTTACATAGGATGTCATGCATTAACTGAGAGGACTCCCAAGGAGGACGGGGAAGGCGACCACCCAGACAAACAGAGTCAGGTTGGCTATCACACTGTGGCTGTGAGGTGTGCTTGTACTCATTCTAGAAATTATAGAGAACATGGAGAGAGATGAGAAACAAAACACAAAGGACCCGTAATCCCACCATGTAAAGAAAGCTACCAGTGACATTTCTTCCTGAGAACCTTGTTCCTGTGTGTGCACGTGTGCGTGTTCATGTGATCTAATGCTCCCTCAGCCGCCACCCTGCCTCCATTCACAGGTTCTCAGAAAAGCCACTTTAACAGCTTGGCTCTAAAGTCTGGACCTCAAGGAGCAGCTCCCCCACCCCAGGCCACCATCCCCCCAAGGCCTTAGGCAGAACCATCAACATTCTTCGCTATTGCAGGAAGTTCCAGGAGTAGCACTGTCTCATGAGACCTGTGCCCTCCCTGTCCCTCTCCCAGTTCTTGGCCGATCTGCAGTCACCCTGGCTCTGCCCGCACACCCACCCCACCTGCCTTCCATCCCCATTTGGGTGGAAGAGGGAAGGTGGAGGGAATTGCGTGAGGATGGGTGATGGATTCCTCCATCAGGCTTTTGCTATCCAGAGCAACCGGTGACCCAGTCCTGGGCTTGGACCCTTACTCTGTCTGGAGCCTCCCACATGTGGGTGTCCCTGAGCTGGCATGTCCCCTGTGCTAGGCCTCATCTTCCCCAAGAGTCCTTGATCTTCTGCCGGAACCTGGTTTCCAACTCTGCCCCTACCCTGTAGCTAGGGGTTTCTTTCCCAGGAGGCTCTGAGGCTCCCTACAGGGCCACAGCTGAGCTGGCCATTAATTTTCTACTTTGCATTCAATGAGGAACATCTCTCCAGCGATGCCACCCCTGTAGTGGTTGTTAGTACTCTGGCTAGATTATGGACATGTACTTTTTGTCTGAGATCCTGAGTTTTTGCTCCTACGAAGACCACTTCGGAGACCCCCTAGTACACTTCATTTACTTTGATACCCTCAAAACGGTAGAATATTTAGCTCTTCCTTCTCATTCATATAGCGATTTCTGCTAGTTGAGTTATGCTGAAGCACTGTCAGGCTCTTGTTCTACCCACTGTGTATCCCCTGGATGGCTCCTTCAGTCCCCCTGGCCTGGCGTTCAAGGTCACCCTATTCATGAGCCCGAACTATCTTTTCTGTCCTGTCACCATACTTCAAATCTGACCTGAGCTCTGACCACACCTCCCAGCCTCCTCTTTTCCTCCTGCTATCCCATTGCCTCATCTCCAAGTCCTCCACACCTTTCAAGAGCCAACTCAAATGGCACCTCCTCCAGGAGGCCCTTCCTGATGGTCCAGGCGAGAGCAAACCCTCACAGCTAGTTGAGATAGCCCTTCCTTGGTGTTCTGATGCGGCCACCTTGCCCAGCAGTTACTTGCATCCCCTGCATCCCAGTGCCCTTGTGTGTCTCCCTCCCTACTCGCTGCTGGAGTAGGAGGAATTCGTGACTGCTCTCTCTGGGCAGAGGGTGCAACAGAAAATGGGCATGAATGAAAGCGGACAGGCCTGAAGTCTGGGCCGGAATTCTGGCCCATTAGGGCACTAGTATCCTGGGTGAACTTGGCAGGTCCTTTTCTCCAGGTTATGGCTGCCCTGTGGCCTGAGGTGGTTGGACTCTGCTCTGGGGGAAGGACATTGATGGCTTCCGGCTGATGTGCTGGCCCAGCACTCCCCCCGCAACTGCACAGCCCCCATGTCCTCTAGCTCTGCTGCACAATCTCATTATGAGCCCTTCAGGATTTACACTGGAGACCCATCCTAAGCCCATCACTAACATAGGGCATCCTGGCAGAAGAAGATGCAGATTGTGAACACTCATTCATTCATTCACTCAGCAACCTGCTATGGAGTCAAGCTGTGCCAGGCCCAGGCCAGCTCTATGTACCCAGCGTGGAGCTAGTCCCCAACCCAGCCCAGAAAGTGCTTCCAGGAGACAGAAGCTCAGGGGGGTGGAGGCAGAGAGTGAGGGAGCCAGAGAAGGGAGGGAGCTCTGCCCTGTGTCTTGAGGGCAGGCTGGCTCTTGGGCAGTGGGTGAGGCCTAGCAAGGCCGCGTAGCTGTGCTGCTGGGCGAGGTGGGATGACAAGAAGAGGCTGATGGAGAAGGATTATCTGCTCTTGTTTACACGATTAAAACCAGACGAATACTTTTTTATCTGAAAGAATGAAAGGGCTTTGGGGGAGAATCCTTTTGGCAGCAAAACAACGCACAAGCATTTCCTTAATCTCTTGCCCAGCCCCTCACCCCTTCCCTCTGGGTACCCTGCAGCAGCCTGAGCACAGTAGCACTGGGGTGACCTTCACTGGGGGACAGAGAGCCCAGGTCGGGGTGGCGAGAGGTAGGGAGGAACCAGGGAGAGGGAGTAGACCCAGGCACTAACTCCAGGTGACCCTGGGTGGTTCCTCTCTGGGAGAGGCTCCTCTTGTGGCCCCGTTTTGGAGATGGAGGCCTCAGGACAGGTTTGTAGACAGTGAGCAGAAGTCGCTGGGACCCAGGCCACGGACTCCCTGCCATGCTCTACTCCCCAGTCACAGCTCCTTCAGCAGTGCTCAGAGGAAACTCAGGCTGGCGGGTGGGGGCTACAGATTCGGTAGAGGCCAGGCCTGCTTCTCCTCTCAGTCTGGTGACAGACAGATGGATGTTGATAATTAGGGGCAGGACAGAGGAGGCCCTGGGCAGGGGCAGCTCCAGAATGGGCTCCTTACTCTGGGAAAGAGGCAGCTAGCCCAAAACGATTCCAGGGACAGCTGGCCCTGAGCATGGACTGGTGAGTGGGAGTCACACGGGTGAGGGAAGCTGCTTCATGGGAAGGGAGCAGCCAGGAAGGAACAGCTGTAGCTGAGACCCTTGCACTGGGAGCCAAAGAGAGGCAAGAAGGAGCCTAGAACTGAGAGAGGATACTTGGGGCATGTGCAGATGCAGGGCGTGGTGAGGAGGGGCTGGAGTGGCCCACCCTGAGCGCCTGGCCAGGGTCTCATGCCCCCACAGCCTCTGACCCATTTCAATCTCCTAGCCTGATGTCTGGCCTCGCCTCGCTGGATGCCAAGACCGCCAGCCGGCTGGGCATCCTCACTGTGGCGTACTACTTGTGGACCACTTTCCTGGCTGTCGTCGTGGGCATCGTCATGGTTACCATGATCCACCCAGGAGGTGCAGCCCAGAAGGAGACTATGGAGCAGAGCGGGAAGCCTGTCATGAGCTCAGCCGATGCCCTGCTGGACCTCATCAGGTAACTTGCCACCCACACCCGGTGGGGGGCACATTCCTGGCCAAGTGCCTCCAGAGGACCATGATTGCCCTGGTAGAAGGCTGTGCAGTGGCCATGGCCACCTGATGCCCTGAAGTGAATGACAAACATGTTTCTGACCCAGCACTCATGCTCCCTGTGGGCTCCCGCTGCACCTTCTGCCCCATCAGGCTGGCAGGACTGGAGGGCAGATCGGGTTGACTCCCCTGCCGGAGCAGGTCAGTGAGTGGCTTTGGGCACCCACTTGCAAGGTGGAAAGGCCAGCAGTTATGAGTCCCCTCCCTTCTCCCCTTCTGTATCGGTCCACTTCTCATCGATGGGGAAAGGAGGCTCAAGGAGGTGATACAAAGTTTCCAGGATTATCCAGCAGGTAGGTTGTAGAGCCAGGGGTCTGTCCAGGTTGTCTAACCCCCAGGACAGCGCTCTCAGCCACCACAGTGCCACTGACTTAGCCACATCACCTCTGCTAACCATGTTCCGGACACCCAAGCCCTCCTTCCCAGGAAAGCGCCGTAGACTGCTACCTGGCCCATGGGAACTGTACGTAACCTTGCTGAAGTGAAGGCCTTTCTCAGGGCCTTTGGACATGAGTCAGGCGCTAACCTCTGCACTCCTCAAATCCTAGGGGACACAAACTGAGATGGATCTCTAAGTAGTTCTCCTGACCTTCTTGTATTATAAGAAGCATTCCTCTCCTCTCCTGTGGGGATAGACACCAAGGATATATATTCTCTCTCTCTCCCTCCCAACCCCTTCTCTCTCCCCTCTGTGTCAGCCAGTTACCACTGTGTAACAAACCACCCAAGGTTTAAGGGTATGAAATGGCCCTCGGAAGTCTACAGTTAGCTGCAGGGTCTGTTTGACCTGTGCACAGTCTTGGTCTGCTGGAGGCTGGAAGACCTGCTGAGGAACAGCTGGTCTAGGATGGCCTTGGTGAGAATGGTTTAGCTGGGCCATCTGGGGTCTTTACACTGCAGCAAGCCAACCTGGCTTTACTCACCATGGCAACAGGATTCCATGACAGCACTCATCTGGCCAATTGTTATGATGAAGGTAGAGAGCAAGAGAGGAAATGAAAACATGTGAGGGTGGGAGGCGACTTCGGTGTGACGAGGAGAAGGAAGTCTGCTAATTGCAGCTATTAATGCAGCCAGCCCACTATTCCCACCTCTGTTCTTCCCCAGGAATATCTCCAGCCTCTGTTCTTTCCTGATTTAAGGATCACAAAAATTCTTGCAACATTGCGCCTACTGTTCGGTTCTCACTTAGGGTCTGCAGTCAGAAGAGGTCCAGGAAGGGTTCCCTGTGTCCACGTGCCTAGCAACACTTGGTGCCCAGCCATGCTCGGATGCCTCTGAACACTGGCCTGCCCAGATCTGGAGCCTGGGGCCCTTACCTGAGCACTGGATTCCACACACAGCTTTCTAAAGGCAGCTCAGAGTTAGCACAGCCCAGCAGAACTGCTCATTTTCCCCATAAACCTGCCTTTTCAGAGTCCTGCCCCTTTGCTCAGCAGCTGTCATAATCCACATCCAGTCTTTGAAAGGGTTTTCCAAATTGTGGCCCTTAGTTCCCTCGTTGTCACTGTCATCTGCCACTTGGTGTCACCTGATTCCCCTCTCCGTTCCTGCAGTGTCCTTGGCACAGCTGCCACCAGGGTCCTCTCTAAAACCTGCACACCACCCACCCCAGAGTGTAGTATCCTGGCTCCCGGCCCCTTCCAGTTCCGCCTTCAGGCCTCACTGCCACACCCTTAGGTTCCTGACCTCCGACGCACTCCGCTTTGCTGGCCTCTGCTGTTCGGCCCAGGTCCATCGAGTGTGGTCTTTCCTTGGTGCCATCACTGCCTCTGCGATGTCCCTTCCTGGGGGGAGAGTGATGGCTCCTCCCCTCACTTCCTTTTGTCTCTGCCCAGGGTCGCCTCCACTCTGTCACTCTCTATTACCTTCTTTTTGCTCCCCTTTTCCAAATAGCTATCGTTACCATCAGACACTATTGCATCCGCAGGTTTCTTTATGTCTTCCTGTCACCTCCCCTGGAACACCGTCGTGTGCCCCCGGGGGCCAGGCCTTTCCAAGTCTATTCCCTGCTCCACCACAGCAGCTGGTAAAGAGCAGGCACGGGACACAGGGCCATCTGTGGAGTAGGGATCTGAAGCCCCAGGAGGATCAGCTCAGGACGAGCCTCGGTCCTCAGCCACACCGAAGGCAGCGTGGTGCTCTCAGGAGAAGCAGCAGAAGAGCAGGTGTCCTGGAAGCCAAGGCATGAGGAACTTTGAGAGGCCTCATTTCTAAGATCTGTTATTTCTACGATTTAGTGCCTGTGATTCATCATTTCTTGGATTCTATGATTCAAAACAGCCTTCCCACGTGGTAGAGGGAGCAGCGGGTCCTCCGGGAGCCCTGCCTCCCCCACTTCGGGGCTCTTCGTGGACACACGTGTCACAGTCAGATGTTCCACAGCACTTTCTACTCTTGGCTGCTTCTCACATGGTGAAAACCGATCCTTCTGCTTTGAGGCCTTTGCACAGCGGGTGGTTGGGCATCACTTGTTTCTTGTACAGAGAGTGGGGCTGCGGGGCGGGACCACATGCTTTCTGGGGCAGGGACCAGAACCTGGCAGAGCTGCAGCCTCATCTCGGCTCTATCAATGGTCAGCTACTGTGTGGCTACAGCCAGGCCAGGGCCCCTCTCTGAGGCTCAGTTTCCCAGAGATGTTCAAGATCCTTCCATTTCTGTGGTTCTACACACAGGCCCCGAGCCAGTGAGCAGGCTGCAGGGCGTGAGCAAAACTCATGGAGACAGGTGACAGGGCAGAGCCTGGTCTGTGAATGCCAGGGGCAGTGGGGGCAGAGGGAGGATGTTAAGTGTTAGAAATGCTGTCCTTGGGAAGGGTGGATTAGAGCGGAGAGCAGTGGACAGGATATGGCTGGAAGCCTGGGGTACCTGGGAGGCAGTGCACTCCACTGCATCCGGCCCACCTTCCTTAAGTACCTGTTCTGCCATTGTGCTGGGAACTGGGCGAACTAATCCAAGTCCAGGCACCAGGACTCTCTGCCCTGTTAGCACGGAAAGATGAGAAGGGTGCACAGGACAGCCACTCTTTGCTACTCTGCAAAGCTGTGCAGAAAGTGGGGACATGGGCAGCAAGGAGATGTTGGCAGATGTGACAGATGACAAGCCAGAAAGTCAGAGGAAATAAGGGAAGCCCCCACAGCTCATCTCATGGGTGCGAAGGTATGTGTCCAAGTCTCAAAGACAATTCCAGAGGGAGACAACGGCTGTGTCCCTGAGTGACCCACCAAGATGTGAATTCATGTCTCAGGGCTGTAAGCGGGGACTTCAGAAACCTTTCCAGTGCTCCCGGTGCAGCTCCCAGGAAAAATCCAGCAGAACACTAGGCAGAGCGGGTCCCTTCTTTTTCCCCCAATTTTATTAAAACGCCGCAGAGATTAAGTAATGATTTGACTCCGTCCTCCCATTTGCCATCTCAGGAACTGGATGGAGCTCTGAGGAGCGATGCTGCAGAAGGAACAGTCCTCACCCCGGGACTCGGGTTGGTGACGTGTGATTGAGGGTGAGCGTGGAGCCACAGCAGTGAGAACTTAATATAATAAATAATAAATCGGGGGCAAGCCTAGAGGTGGCCCTGGTCAGGCTCACAGAAATGTTCTGCAGGCCTTGGCAGAGCAGGTGGGTGTTTCCTAGGCACGGCTGTTAGTGTCTCCAGGTACATCCTGTCTGTATTTGATGTAGCTGCCACCAGGAGCACAGGCCCCATGGGAAAGCAGGAAGGGCTGCTTGAACATTGAAAGCAAATAAGTGAATAGATAATGTTGCGCATTTCCCCAGTTAATAAAAAGAGTATCATTCTCCACTCAGTCTGCAGAATCAGTTCACTGATAATGAGTATGCCCACCTATCTCAGTCAAGAGCCACTTTTGCCTGCCAATTAAGAGAAACCTAGAACAGCAGAGGCTCAGGAAAGTCAAAAGTGTGCATTTCCTCCTGCATAACTGGTCCATGGGTGGGCGGGTCCTGGTCATCAGGATCTCACACTCTGGGCCCCCGTGAGCTCTGCCATGGTGAGTACCGAGAAGGTTATTCAGGCTGTAGTTCATACATCTGCATTTCCAGGCAAAAAGAAAAAAGCTGGAGGAAGTCACCACAGGGCTCTGGCTGAAAGGAGCAGCACTCAAGAGTGGAGTTGAACGACTTGTATTTCTATCTCAGTGGCCCCTAAAGCAAGAGAGGGTGGGAGTCAGGGTTTGGTGGGAGGGCTTCTCTAAGTAAAGAAGGAGAAGATAGAGGTCAGGTAGGCTAGTGTCCCTGCCACAGCCCACATTTGAAGTCATCCTAATTTTTTTTCATTGAGTTTATTGGAACATTTTAGGTATGCAGTACAGTTACATTCATCATTGGGATCTTGTACCTTTACATGACAGGTTTTGGTTCTCAGTTTGAAGTTATCCTACTGTTGTTAGTTTTGTTTTTTTGTTTATTTGTTTGTTTTTTTGAGACAAAAAGTTGTAGTTGAGAGTGACCTGGAACTCACTATGTAGCCCAGGCTGGTCTCAAACTCACAGCAATCCTCCTGCCTCAGCCTCCCAAGTGCTGGGATTACAGGCAAGCGCCACCACGTCCGACTATCCTAATGTTGTTAAAGGAAGTGGTAAAGGAACTAAGTGTAAGCTCTATTGGGTTTCTTATGATCTTTCAAATAATCTTAAGCAGATGTCTTTTTTTTTTTTTAATTTTTTTAGTACTAGGGATTGAACTTGGGTCCTTTCGCTTGCGAGGCAGGTGGTGGAATCACTGAGATAAATTCTGGCCCAAGTAGATGTTTTTTTAAGTTTCATTAGAAAACAACTTTGTAAGTCTCTTGAACCTCCTGGGGTGATACCTGGGAGAGATTTTCAAAGTATTTAATAAGTTAGTGCCACCTGGTCATCCTCTGGGTGGTAGGTGACATCCCGGGCAGGTGGGCCTGTGTGTCCCTGACCCTAATGCTGGCTCTGGGCTTCAGGTCTGCTTGGTATCTGAAGTCCCTGCAGGTAGCTACCATTCTGATAGCAGAAATCTACTTATAATTCATGGGGGAAAAGTCTTATTTAAGCTTTTGCCTTCCCAGTTCCTGACCCCTGCTTCTTCTCAGCATTGTGACTAAGTTGCCCTTCCTGGTAAAGGGACTTAGGCCTGATCAGCCTTGTGCCCCAGTGGCTCCTTCTTAGCCCTCTTCTTCCTGCCATCTGCATATACTGAACCTGAATCTTAGCTATAGTAAAAAATTAGTTTCTCTTTCCAACCACGAGTGCTGGGAAGTGGGCGTAAGAAATAACGCACACTCACATGCACGTGAGCAGCCCCTGGCCCGTGGGAGCTGAGTCTCAGAAGAGACGAGACTCGCCAAGAACAAGAGCGAGTGGGAGAGCGAGCCAGTCAGAGAGCAGCACAGGAGTGGGCTGCAGGAGGCCTGTTCCGGCAAGCAGGAGAACAAGAATATTGTTCGCATCTCTGATTTCAAATCAATTTCCAGAAGGGATTATAAAGGCAAGAACAGAAATGGTTTTAAAGACTTCAGACATGAAATTGCTTTAGAGCAAAGCTGCTGCCAGACCTTCCTAGGGACCCGTCTCCCCAGGCCACCCAAGCATCTGTACCGTCTCATGGGTGAAATAGACTGAAAACACCAAACCACTTTCAAAGCCTCTCTGGCCCTTCATGTCCTTTGCTTTCCTTTTGTGAAGTGAATCACTGGTGCGGACCTTCTGATCATTTTCCTCCTGCTGTACTATTTCTGTGGTCCATGTGTTCATGCAACAAACATTTGCTGCATGTCTGCGCAGGCCAGGCCCTCTTCCAGGTGCTGGGGACACAGCAGGGCACAAAAGTCTCTGCCCCCCAGGGAGCTGGTACTCTGGGAAGAGGAGGCCCACGGCGGCCGTGGAAATCAGCACGAGATGTGTAAAAGCCCTTTCTAGATCTAGGACAGTAATGGTTGGTCATTTAGTCTCCCAGTTTGTCGTTTGCTTCCTCACTTCATTTGTATTATAATCCATCTCAGAGAACAAATTCTTCCTCCCTCTTCCTCTGCTTCTCCTCCTCCTCCTTTTTCTCCTCCTCCTCCTCTCCTTTTTAGCTTTTTACTTTGGAATAATTTAAAGTTTACAGAAAAGTTGCAGAGAAAAGACATCCCATATGCCGGCTTTCCCCAGATGTCTGCATCTTATATGACTATGGTGCTTTTGTCAAAACTGAGAGATTAACTTGTTACAACCCCGCCAACTTATAGACCTCATCTGGATTTCACCACTTTTGTCCACTAATGTCCTTTCTCCGCATCCCAGGATCCAATCCAGGATGCCATGTTGTGCTTGGAAATTTCATATTTTATTGAATTGTATCTATTATATTTCATGCTTCTTCGGGAATCTTTCCATATTCTGAGAGATGGTAAAACGTTAGCCTATATTTCATATAACTTTTATGGTTTCATTTTTTAAAAAATATTTCTTAAAACCATCTAGCATTTATTTTGTTTTGAGGTGTTAAATAAGGAGCTAATATTTATTTTTCCAAATAGTTGGTCAGCTCTACAGGACTATGTGATGAATTCTTCAGTTCATTGCTGACTTGTAATGCAACTTTTATCAAATATGAAACACTGAGAAGATGTACTGAGAACCAGGTTCTGGTTCTGAGCCACGGGTTCTACAATGTTTGTTATTCTACTGAGGCTCTGTTGGTATCATCCTGCTTTGACAGTTACATCTTTATAATATGTTTTCGTGTCCAGTAGACAAGACCTCCTTCACCTTTAGCTTTATAATGAAATATTAATAAAAACACAGTCAGCCTTCTCGATCTGAGGATTCTGTATCGGTGAATTCAACTGCAAATTGAAAAATCTTTGGAGGAAAAAAATTGCATCTGTACTGAACGTGTACAGATGTTTTTCCCTTGCCATTATCTCCTAAACAATAGAACAATTTTTACATCACATTTTTATTCCCTTGGGTGTTATAAGTAATAGAAAGCTGACATGTGCAGTTTATATGCAAATACCATGCCATTTTTTACAAGGAATTTGAGCGTTGTCAAATTTTGGTATCTGAGGAGTCCTGGGGCCAGCCTCCATACCAGTCACCAGTGGATGACTGCGGCGACCCACTTCCATGCCAGGCTCTGTGTTGGACCCCGAGGTGCCCCTTCAAAGAGGCCACTGAATGGAAGAGGCGGACACATCTGCCGGTGACTGTGCCACAGTGTGATGAGTGGAGGTGACCTGCACCCAGAAGGGCTGGGTCTGGCTGGCTGGTTGCACCCAGAAAATGGGGCTTGAGCTGGAATTGACTACAGTAAGATGCCGGTCATTCGGGGCAGAGGGAAGGCATGGCTGACACCCTGGAGCTGGGGCACACAGGGCGGACGCAGCCAGGGAGCTGGAAGAGCTGGGTGGGGCCAGCAGAATGAGGCATAAGCGCGCAACAGGAGAGGCTGGCTTATGGAGGGCCTTGGCTCCCAAGGGAGGTGTGCAGGTGACCCCAGGGACCCTGGCCTGGCTCTGGAATTCATCAAGTGCTGACTTTCTTCCCAGGAACATGTTCCCAGCCAATCTGGTGGAAGCCACATTCAAACAGGTGAGCGGGTCTGTGGGCACTGGGCAGGGAGGGCAGGGCAGGAGGGGTGAGGAGGCAGGGCCAGCCTGAACCAGGCTGGAAAATGACAGGTTGGCCCAGCCAGCCTCTGTCTTGTACAGGTGAGGTGCCAGAGGGAAAGGGACCTAGGTTCTTACAGCCTCTGATGGCCAGTGTTCCAGTCTTGCATGAAAAAATGATATGGAGTGGAAGGAAGCATTTACTGAGGGCCTGCCTGGCTGTGGGTGCTCACACATTCACCACCTGAGTGTGAACCTTATGGTAACGCTCTTCCAACGTAGGATTAACCCCATTTCCTCAGTGACAAAACAGGCTCAGGAGAGTTTGATGATTTGCTCAAGGTTATACCACTTGTGAATGACAAGCTAGTAGGCAAACTCAGGCCAGGCTGGCTGTAAGACGGTCCTATCTCCTTTTAAAAGATAACCCTATTGGGAAAGTATTAAAAAAACATAAATTTAAAAATAATAATCATCTCTAGTTCCAGGACCTAGCAACAGTGGTAGCAGGTTTTACACCTTTAGTCTTTTTTTTCTTCATAAATATATTTTGAGAATAAAATAAAGATCATAGTGCATTCAATTGTATCTTGCTCTTTTCCCTTCCATCATATTTTGAGTGTTTCCTGCAATTATTGTTTCTTAAACGTCCAACAGTTAATGATGATGTAGCCGCTGGCGGTGAGACCGAGTCTTCGCAACCATTCCTTTAGGTTGGATTCTAGCTGTTGCCTTTTATGGGCTGTGATAGAGGTCCTTGAGCTTCTCTGTCCATCTGCACTCCTAATTGTTTGCAGTTCTCTTTCTCCTCCTAATGGTAGCAGGCTTGTTAATACAACCGGGGAGGCATTTCCTGAACCCCTTCCCCAGGCCGGGCTGGGGACATAAAGGAAGTAGTTGAGTTTGGGAAGATCTCTTTTGGGTAAAATACTGATTCCTGCCTTGCCTGCCTCGTGAGGTTGCCACCAATCAAACAGGACAGGAGTGACACAGCTCTGCTCTCCAGATGCTATTGCTGTTGCTGATAATAACACTGAGCTGTCGCCCACCAGCACCGCACGAAGATCGTCCCAGTTGTCAGGTCCCCCAAGGTGGCCCCAGAGGAGGCCCCTCCTCAGCACATCCTCGTCTACGGGATCCAGGAAGAGAACGGCTCTCGTGTGCAGAACTTCACACTGGACCTGACCCCACCACCTGAGGTCATCTACAAGTCCGAGCCTGACACCAGTGATGGCATGAACGTGCTGGGCATTGTCATCTTCTCCGCTACCATGGGTACGTTCTGCCTGCCCCTGCAGCGCCCTCACGCCACTCCCTGCCAGCGTCCGCCATCCAGTTATCTGAGTGGCCTCCCAGCCATGCGCAGGGCACTCAACTACCTCAGCCCAGCTGCAGTCACCCCTTCTCCCTTGTCACTTCTCTCACCCCTCCCCAGGGGCCTCCCTACAGGCCTCAGGGCTCGGAAAAGCCTCCTGATCCCCATACTGGGCTGGGGACCCCAGACTCCGCATTCTGTGTGCACATTATGCCTTGGCAGACCCTATTGCATTACAACACTGCGTTCAGCAGCGTGCTGTCTGTGCAGCAGCTGTGCTGGTTCTGGGTGGGTGGGGACATGCCTGGCTTGTTCTCCATTTATCCCCGGGCTCACTGCAGTTGGCTGGAGAGGGTCGTGCTTGGTAAAACCTATTGAGGAGATGCATGAATGGATGGATGGCCTTGAATAATGATCCGATCATCTTGGCCAAAGCGCCAGGCCTGCAGAGGGGTCTGTACCTGAGCGTGCGACAGGCCCATCCTGGTCTGAGGAGAGCAGAGAGTGAGGAAGTGTGGCCCACTGCAGGTTCTGAGCAGTCGCTAGTGGGTGCAGGTCTGTCCTTGCTTTGCCCCCTTGTGCCTGCTCCTGCACCTTGGCAGGGGCCCCCGTAACACGCTGTGTCCCCACAGGCATCATGCTGGGGCGCATGGGTGACAGTGGAGCCCCCCTGGTCAGCTTCTGCCAGTGTCTCAATGAGTCCGTTATGAAGATTGTGGCAGTGGCTGTATGGTAAGCCTCTGTGGGGCGGGTCCTCCTCCACCCCACATACTTCTCTGGTCCGAGGCAGGTGGGGAGACGTTGAGGGCTGTCCCATCCTCTGCTGCTCAGAGAGGCTCAGCGAGGGCCTGGAGTCTCCAGAGCTACCTGTGTTTGCCTGGATCCCCAGCCCTGAGCAGGCCTGACCCCTGGCCTGCTTCTGCCACTTGTGGCCTAGCATGGAGAATGGCTCAGCCTGGCTTGGCTGCCCTCCTGGTCTCAGTTTCTCCATACCATGGAGCCTCCTCAGCTCAGCTTTTGAAGAAAGGACACAGTGTAAGGGAAAAGCAGCTGCCACTCCTGGTTCAGAGTTCAGACCTTAGGAATCCTCTAGACTGAGGGGAAAGGCAGAGGCCTCCCGGGGCTGCTCAAGAAGGTGTGGCATTGCTGCAGCTGGAACGGGGCCACCTGAGTGTGGAGACAGGACAGGTAGAGAGGCCAGAGGTTGTCCAGGTGAGGGTGGCTGAGGATAAGGGCACCAGCAGTGCTACCTGCAGGACACCTTGTGTAGTCTCATCCTGGCCTCGTGTGAGCTCTGGAGGCCCAGAGACACAGTGCCAGAGCAGGGGAACATGTGTCTGCCTGGCACTGAGCTGAGGCTGTCCTGTCATCCCAGGTACTTCCCCCTCGGCATTGTATTCCTCATTGCTGGCAAGATCCTGGAGATGGATGACCCCAAGGTGATTGGAAAGAAGCTGGGCTCGTATGCCATCACCGTGGTGTGCGGACTTGTGATCCACGGCCTCTTCATCCTGCCCCTGCTCTACTTCTTCATCACCAAGAAGAACCCCATCGTCTTCATCCGTGGTGTCCTCCAGGCCCTGCTCATTGCACTGGCCACCTCCTCCAGGTAGCCGGGGATTATGAGATGGCCAGGATAGGGCAGGCAGAACGGAACTCTGTCCCTCTGTCCGGCCATCATTTGTCCGCAGCCCACTTCTCAAAGCTGGGGATGGCAATGGTGCTATAGCAACAAAACCTAGCTTAGGGATTCAAGGCTTCCTCTGCCCATAATCCCAAAAGCTCACTCCATCCGCACAGGGGTCAGCTTCCCAACGAAGGGGTAGAGAAGGCAGCCACTTCCCCGGTAGACACAGCCATAGCCTGCCGCAGAAGAAGCCCCCGCAGGACTCTGCCGGCACTGTCTGAGCAGGGTGTGGCTTGGTGACCTGGGTATTATGTGGACAAGGGAACCAGGGGACCTCGGGGAAGACTCTGCCAGGGACCTGGGTAGAGGCTGGACTCTAAGTCAGGTGGCCCAGGAGAGGGGCGATGGGCCAGCCCTCCTCCCGGGGGTGGGCAGCTTCCTGTCAGAGGCCCTGGTCATCCTGGAGGAGGGTTGTGGGCAGACACCAGCCCCTCTGCCCATAGCTCAGCCACACTACCCATCACCTTCAAGTGCCTGCTGGAAAACAACCACATCGACCGGCGCATTGCCCGCTTTGTGCTGCCCGTGGGTGCCACCATCAACATGGATGGCACCGCACTCTACGAGGCTGTGGCTGCCATCTTCATCGCCCAGGTCAACAACCACGAGCTGGACTTTGGCCAGATCATCACCATCAGGTGTGTCCTGACACCCACACCCCAGAGGTGTCTCTGGGGCCAGTGAGGGTGAGGGGCCCACGCCAAGTCACACTCGAGCCAGCACTGGAGCTGAGGGCAGGATGCTGGGGAGAGCAGAGCCTGAGGGAAAAGGCCGTCCTGGCTCTCAAGTCTGAGAACAGGCCCCAGAGCAAGGCTGGCCTGAGCTGCACCGGTTGGTGATCAGAAGCTCTGGAACAGAGGTAGAGTTCTAGACACCAGTCTAGAACTGAGGCTAGGGCCGGGGACCCATGGGACCCCAGGAACACGTGGAGGGTCTGCTCCCCCGGGAACTCCCTGATGCAGCAGCCCTGCCAACACCCAGCCTCACGGAGTTGCCCAGAGGCCCTGGCTTTCTGGCCTTCTCCTCGGAGTAGCGCCCCATGCACCCCACCACCTTCTGCCCTTCCTCTTCCTCCCCTCTCCACCTCATCCCATGCAGCATCACAGCTACCGCGGCCAGCATTGGGGCAGCTGGCATCCCTCAGGCCGGGCTTCTCACCATGGTCATCGTGCTCACCTCTGTGGGACTGCCCACGGACGACATCAACCTCATCATTGCCGTGGACTGGGCTCTGTGAGTGCACCTTGGCCAGGGCAGTGTGGCAGGGTGGAGCTCTGAGCCCCTTCCCCAAAGGAGAGGGGTCTTTGTGTTCGGCACAGCATGGCTGCCTTGCTCGTCTACACAGGCCTGGCACATAATGGGGGGGCAGATTCAAAAATGAAAACAGAATTCCAAAACAGTGAGCACAGAGCATTGGACCACGCCCACCGTGCTAAGCACAGGGCCTATGTGGCTGATGGGGCCAGCCCTGCATCAGCCTGACACCACCCATGAGCTGGGCATTCTGCTCTGCTGATGGGCGTGGCCTCGCCAGCTCTACTTCACCCTGCGTTCACTGCCCACCTTGGCTCCCCAGGGACCGCTTCCGCACCATGATTAATGTGCTGGGTGACGCACTGGCTGCAGGGATCATGGCCCACATCTGCCGGAAGGACTTTGCTCAGGACCCTGGCACTGAGGTGAGAACAGGGCTCCCTCCCAGAGGCCATTAGGAGGGTGCAGCCAGGTGGAGTGGACACGAGACTTCCCGTCTCTGCTCGGCGGCCTTCAGCCAATCCCTCCATGTCTCTGGGCTTTGGTCTCCTCATCTGTGACTAACAGGAGGGACCAACTCCTTGGGGCCAGCACTGCTCTAGACAGGAGAAGTAGTGGGAACTAAGATGGCGTTGTCCTGCTAAGTCACGTGTCTGGGCGTCTGTATGGGGTTGTACGGTCTTCTCGGTCCCTCTGTAGTCACATGTAGGCCACCTCCACTTCACAGCGAGGAAGAGAAGTCTCAGGCAGGAGAGCCACCAATTCCCTGGTTTAACCTGTGGGCCAGGTCCCTCCTCTACTGAGACAGCTCCAGGATAGCTTGGCAACAGGTGGCAGAGACTTGTGACCTGCTGGGCCACCTAGGGTTTCTGTAGGAAAATCCCTTTCCTGGTTCCCAGCCCTAAGCTCACCTGTTTTAGTCACCTTCAGTCCTTCCTGCTGCTACCAAATCTCATGTCCCCTCTCCAGAAGCTGCCACCCTGCGAGACCAAGCCACTGAGCCTTCAGGAGATCGTGGCGACCCAGCAGAATGGCTGTGTGAAGAGTGTGGCGGAGGCCTCAGAGCTGACCCTCGGCCCTGCCTGCTCCCACCACGTCCCTGTGCAGGTGGAGCAGGACGACGAGCTGGCTGTGGCCAGCCTGGACCACTGCACCATCGAGATCAGCGAGCTGGAGACCAACGTCTGAGCTTGTGGGGCTGCAGTGCAGGTGAGGCCCCCGGGGCCAGGGCAGGAGCTGAACTCCCCTGAGTTCAGAGCATCTGAGCAGCTGGCAGGCACCAGGCTCATGCATTCTGCCTTCTTGGAGGCTGCGATTAGCTTCAGAGATGGGAAATAGGGTTTCAGAGAGAAGGGGGTGCATGCAGGAGCCCCACCTAGAGGGTGATAACCTGCTGAGCCCAAACCCTACCTGTGAGCCGCTACCCTGCGGGTCCATGGTGCCAGGTGGGGATTGTGGTCCCCATTTTCTGGATCACAGATTTGAGGTTCTGAGCACTTAACCACAGTCTTGAAAAAGCAATGTCAGGGCTAGGATACTGACTGAAGTGTTTTGAGCCCTGGCTACTCCCTCCTAGGACAGAGTGGCCTGCAGGGCCAGATGCTGAAGGGCTCCGCAGCCACCATCCCTTCTCCCTTATGAGGATGGACTGACAAGCGGTGTCCCCCACCTCACCCCATAGCATTTGGCCTCAGCCAAACAGCTGTCCCCATGGGGAGCCTATCCTGGGCTGAGACCTGCTTACTGCCTTTAATGTGTCACAGCCTGCCCCGTCCCCGCCCACCAGCTGAGTCTGATATGGGGATGGACATCTTCACTAGGGACCCTGGAAGAGCCTGGTGGGGATATCCAGGCCAGCTTCCTGTGGACAGGTAGGCAGGGCCCTGTGGCACCCTGGGGTCAGAACTCCCCAAAGGCCCACGTGACAATGGAGTAGGTGTTCCTATCCCTTTCTGTGTTTGCAAACTCAGTGATAGCGAAATAAAGATCTTTTCTTTTTCAAGTCTTGTCTGCATAGAGCCCACACTCTGGGCCATGGAGGCTGTCAGCATGCGGTGAGCCTGTCCTGGTGGCCATAGTGAGGACACCCCTGTCTGTGCTGTCACACGCAGAAGACAGAGTGCCAACCAGTTGTCCGTGGGCCTTGTCCAAGGGCCTCGTTCGGGGGCCACCGTGGCCAGACCACTGTGTCCCTGCCCAGGGCTGTGCTCTGCAGCAGGGACCATTGAGGAACACATTTCCTCCTCGTCTTACTCCCTGCGGTGAGTGCTTTGCCTTAGAGAGGGGACACACCCATGGTATCACAGCGTCTTCCCCATTTCCCTCACTATAGGTACCTGCAGGAGGCCTGGGGCTGGGAAGGTCCTGCACCATGACACCCATGAAGACCCTGACATCCAGGAAGGGACAAGCCTCCTGAAGGCCCCCCAAAAGTCAGGAAGGCACCTGCTTCTACCCCAGCTCCAATCTACACCCATCTTCTCCCAGAATGACAGCGTGAGGAGTCCAGGAAGGGCCTGGGCCCCAGGTTGCCCCAACCACTGCAGAGCTGGGGGCCTTACCACCTCCACAAGATTTCTTCCCATTCTCAAGGCCTCAGCACCTAAGAGGGGCCAGATGTCAGGCTGTGAGTCACTCCCACCTTCATGTGGATGGGCTTTCGGCCCCTTCCCTGGGTCACATTGCTGAGACCCTTTAAGTAACCAAGTCAGCCCCACCACAAGACAGGAGATCGATTGTTTAGCAGCCTTGATAGACATGTGCTTACACACCTCCAGGAACAAGGGGGTCACCACTTCCTGGGCATTGCTCTCTCCTCTGGGGCGGCTCTGCCCATCAGAGATTTGCGTTACCTGGAGCTGGGTGCCACCACCTGCAGCTTCCTCTCCCGTGCCCAGCTCTGCCCTGGGGGGAGCACACTGGGCATGTCTGTCATCTCTTCCCTGCAGAAACTGCCCCCAGGTCAGTTCTGCTCCAGCTCCTAGGCCTGCCTCCTCCTTCCCACTTCCATGGGACAGATCCCATTGGTAAAAGCCCCTCAGTGCAACGGTGACCCTTCAGATGAGCCCTGAGCAGCCCGGTGCCCAGCAGGCCCTTTGCCGAGCTTATAGGCCTGGTGCAATGGTCCCAGTCCTATCTGCCGATTCCCACCCACCTGAGGGTCCATGCATACGTCCAGGCCTCCTTACCAGCCACAAAATCCCATCTCCCTGGCCCCCTGCCCATGCAGCTCCTTTGGAGGGGGCTCCAAGAACTGAACTCTGCCCTGACTCCTGCTGGTCTGGCAGGGCTTGTATCCTGCCCACCCCTAGTAGACCCAGCCGAGCGCCTGGCAGGAAGCGCACACAGACACGCCAGCTGCAAGGACAGGGATAATACTTTTATATTAGTTTTTTCTGTAACAAGAAAAGTGAGCTTTGAGATTTTTATCATTTTTCTTTTCTAAAAAAAAAAATCCTAAAAACAGAGAAAGGCACCCAGAACTTCCCTGCAGGCCCAAAGCATAGAGTGTCTCATAGGTACAGCCCAGCCCTTCCTGCCTGCTCCTCCAGCCCGTAGCCTCAGCTCCCTCCCATGCCAGGGCCCCAGCAGCAGCCCGGAGACCTTCCACTGGCTTCCGTGAGGCCTGTCCATCAAAGTGCCTGCAGCCGTGCGGGGAGGGGGGCTCAGCAGGGTGACTGCCCCAGTACCTGGCGGGCAGAAATCCAGAAGGTTCCTGTCCCCAAAGGGAGGGAAAGGAACAAAAGCCAGCTTTTGTGAGTTCCAGAAGGCAGAAAGCACCTGGTACAGAGCAGGGAGATAACCCTATGCCTTCTCCAGGTAGACACAGAGGACCAGGCACATCTGGCTGGGGGCGAGAGCTGTTGGTGGCATTGATGTGTGTGTGGGTGGTGGTAGGCAGCTTTCAGGTGAGTGTGTGTGTGAGTGTGTGTGCACGAGCTAGGTGTGCCAGGGAAGGACAGGCCCCGCCCGAGTCTGTGTGACTCAGAGGGCAGGCATGTCGGCAGTGGTGGGCCTGAGCTGGGGAGTGTGACTGTTTGGAGGGTGAGACCGCCGGCTGGGTGTGCGGGGGTGTGGTGTGGTGCCCGCACTTGTCTGCCTGAGGGACACATCGCAGGATGGGGTGGGGGCCAAGATGGCATTCAGCCTGTGGCAGGCGGGATGGCCCATGGGTTCGGCGCTGGGTGCTTCTGTGTAAGAGGGTGTGGACGGGGCTCACGGGACATGGCACGTGCTGCAAAAGGGGGTCCACAGTCCATCATCCTGTGGAAACAGAGGAGAGTCAGGGGTCCGCCCAGGGCAACACACCAGCCCCGCCAGCCCGCACATGGGGTAGTGGCTCCTCGCTTGAGGGGGCTCTGGGCAAGCCAGGCTACTATGAGTCGGGCAGTGAGATGCCCAGGGAGCCTGGTGCCCAGGGGAGGTGCCCATGCCAACATAAGAGGAACAGCTTTTGGATCTCTCCGGCCACTCCCTAGGGCCTCACAATGGACCTGACTAGCCAGTGTCCTCCAGAGGGGCCAGATTCCCTCCCACCCCAGGATTCCACAGCTCCCTTAGGAGGGCCATGCAATTCATATGGGTTTTTTTTGTTTTGTTTTGTTTTGAGACAGGGTTTCCTTATGTAGCCCAGGCTGGCCTCAAACTCATGGCAGTCCTCCTGCCTCAGCCTCCTGGGTGCTAGGATTACATAGATGTACCACCATGCCTGGCCCATGGAATCCTTAGTGAAAAGCAGGTTACCCCCATAGTTAGTTGACCCCTGGCTCTGCATGAGGATGATGCCTCCCGAGAAGGGACTCCACCTCATAGCCAACTCCCAGAGTAGAACGAGGGGACTCTGGAGCACTCCCTCTGGGCCTGACCCCAACACTCAGATAACCCCGGCATGTGTGCTGACATCAGCGTGGATGCCTCGCCCCACTTGTCACCCACCCACAGGGTCCTATGTCAGGTCAGCCTCCTCATGGGGCCCTGGTAGTCCCCTCTCAGGGCCCTGTGACCCTGCACAGCTCTGATGTCCCCTGTGACCAACCACCTCTCCTGCCGGCTCCTGTCCCACACCGTCCTCTTTCCCTACCCAGCCCGGCCTCAGGACCATGCCTTCAGCCATCCCCTTCTGAATGCACTCCACTACCTTGTTCCTTTTCCTCCTAGTCCTGTGCCCTCCCTGGCCCCACACTCCAGCCATGAGTGGACTCAATGGTCCATCTTCTCCCCACTCCATGGTCTGATAGGCACCTCCTACGGCATGGGGGAAACAAGGCTGAAGGCTAAAGGCCAATCTGACTTCACGTCCAGCCACCAAGCCATTCGCTTGCCCATGACTGCAGCCCCTGGGCCCTCTAGCGGGAGCGATGTGCCGCCTACAGTCCCCACAGGAGCCTCACACCCACTGGACACTCACAGCAGCCCGTCCCCACTGCCGTGAGTCCACATCCACAAGTGAGAGCAGCCTTTCCCAAGCACACGCCGCCTTCACCCTTCCGCCCTCCCTCGCCTCTTCACAGCCAGACCTCTCTGGAGAAGGGATGAGACCCCTCCAGCCACTGCCATCTTGCCCTGCTCTGCATGAAGGCACATGCATTGGGCCCTGGACAGTACTGACACTGCCGAGTCCCCTGCTTGTGGATAAGCCTGTGCCTGTACACACCATGCACACACGTGGCCCACCTGTGATGGCCTGTGCACAGCACCCAGGTGTGCACATGTGCTCGTGCCTACAAGCAGGCATACATGTGCATGAAAGTCTACATCACTGGTGCCCATGTACCATGGGATACGTGTGTGTCTGCCTCTGCGTGTGCACAGTGTGCATTCTGCAGGTGTGTGTGGCTGTGTGCAGGCTTAGACAAGTGTGTTGGTGCATGTGCTTGTATACAGTACCTGTGTTACAGGCACGTGCAGAGCCCTGTCCCCCAGCCCCACCTCCACTTTCCCGACGGCCCCAGCCGTCTCCTCTGCAGGTCCCACACTCACCTGGGTGATGCCCGCCACCCACCGGCAGCTTCAGTGACTGGATCCCCAGCTCCAGCCCAGACCTCCCTCCTGAGGCCCGGTCCCTGTGCCCAACCTGGCCCTGCTGGCTCCCACGGCAGCACATACCTCCCTGGATTGGCGTACCCTAGCACATGCCAGCCCTCAAGGCTGCTGTTCCATCTCAATCCCTCACCACAGCCCGGTACCTCCCGCGTGCCAGACAAACACATGCGATTGCAAAACGAAGGGGTGCAGAGGGGATGAGAGTGAAGAACGAACGAAAAGACCCTACAGGGGGGTCAGGGGCAGGGTGGTGGTGATGGGCAGTGCACCTTGTCCCCACACAGACCACCTACCTGGGTCAGATCTGTCACCTTGTCACTATCTTGTTTCCTCTTCCTCCTCTTCCTCCTCCTCCTCCTCTTCCTCTTCTTTCTCCAAGTGGCCACGGTCCTTGGAGGTATCACCCAACTCGATGTTGCCTTCGATGTCTAAGACCTGCAGGTGCTTCAGCTCCCGGAAGGCACTTTCCACCACGGAGCCCACGGCCAGCTTGTTAAACCTGGGAGGCATAAAACCAGGGTCAGTGCAGGGGCCCAGCCTTGGGACCCACGCCTACCGACCTCGGACGGTAACAGGAGGAAGCCAGCCCTCTGGGGTGACACAGGAGATGAAAAGACTGGGTTCAGAGGGGCGGCGCATGGGGAGAAGTGTAAGTTGTTCAGAGTAGTGATGGCCGCTCAAGAGCAGGAAAGGGCACTGGGCTGGTCACCTGCAAAGCAAAAGGAGGTCTCTCTCTGTGGACATTCTCACTGGCCATTTTGGGAGCTGCAGACGTGGGAGCCTCCTTCTGCCTACTCATGGGTGCCAGCTCCAAGGTCTGGGCTGGCACCCAGGCAGGGCCACGGCTGAGCCAGGTGGGGGCCGCACCCAGATAGGGATGGCAGAGGCCACAGCTCTGGTCTCACATGTCACATGGGCAGTGTTGGAAAGAGCCATGCTG